GGAGAGAGGTTAGATCTGTAATTTAGAGGGACTGGTGACTGAAAAGTGAATTAAATACCCATCATTGTATTCATTCTAAGGAGGTACTTAGAGTGAGATAAAAACGACTCAAAGGAAAGCAAAGAAACCAAGATTCAGTGTCTCTTTTCCCTCTAATTGGATCCCTGGATCTCCTGCTGGAGAGTAAGAAAGGACTTACTCTTACTTACTTGTAAGCAAGGACTCTGCCAATTCTAGCATTACCGTTTTGTCTCAAATGTCAGGGATGTTAACAACAACAACAAAAAATTCATACCATGTAGGGCAGGGCACTCTTTAAACTCTGAAGTTCGTTCTGACACTTTTATTTTTCAAGTTGTTCACAAAGTCAGATTTTAAGGGGCCACTCATTGCCTTGTTTATTTCCTTTTTCTTTTGGTTTTGGCTTTTCAGCTGGCATTTCTATCAACTGCGATTGCCAGCATTTGGCGCAGTGGGTGAAGCAAGTCTTGTTTGAAAATCTGCCAGAGGCGGCCTGTGGAAGCTGGTACGACAGGAAGCAGCTTGAGGGGTGGCTGCTTTGTCTCAGTTCTCAAACTCAGAGGGAGGCATCCCTGGCAGAAAGAGGAAGTGGCCTGCATCCCCCACCTCAGCCCTCCAGAAGGCTCCCCTCCCTAAGCAGTTTTCTGTAGAGCTCTTGCGCCTGACAAATGATTGCTTTTCTTGAGACACAGAAATCCCTAACTGTGGCCTTGAGGAAGCTGATAAGTAAGCAGAGGATGATGGTTGACAGAGAGAGAAGAGAGACGTAGCTCCCGAGAGATGGTAAGATGGAGAGAGGAGCTGTCCCTTCTCTGACTAGTGTTCCATTTCCCACTTCCAGGCGCCCAGGCTCAGCTGAAACGAAACCAAAAAGGATATCTGGGGCACACCCTGGGGTACCCCAGCAGGACCTAAGTCTTCCCCATACAACAGCAGGATACTATTGAATATCATTGAGACACCTAAAGAGGCCCAGAGCCTTCAAGAATAGGTAAATCAGTGCTCAGGCAACCTGTTAAAGTAGCAAGAGGACCTGGGATACTTTTATATCAAAAAGCGGTTAAAATATTGTAAAAGAGAGCTCCTGCTTTCCGGTGTTGAAGAATTGTTTTGTATCCCCTTCTCCTCTTGAAACACACACACACATCGTCATCGTCATCATTCTGAAATTTTAGAAACCTGGTGACAAGCAGTAAATCTGTTTCTTTATTCATACCTTCAACAAATCTTCACCGAACGTCTGCTATGTTCTAGGCACAAAGTGCTTGGGGTACGTTAGTGAAGCTCTCAAGAGCTTAAGTTCCAATAAATAAGTAAATTCTACGGTCAGCCCTCTGTATCTGCGGGTTCCACGCCCACAGATTCAGCTAGCCTCAGATTTAAAATATTTGAAAAAAATTCCAGAAAGTTCCAAGAAGCAAAACTTGAATTTGCCATGTGCAGGCAACTATTTATATAGCATTTACATTGTATTTACAACTAGTTTCACAGCATTTACATTGTATTAGGTATTATAAGCAATCTAGAGATAATTTAAAGTATATGAGAGGATGTGCATAGGTTAAATGCAAATACTACCCCATTATATACAGTTGAGCATCCATGGATTTTGGTACCTGTGAGTGGGTCCTGAACCAATCCCCTGCAGATATCGAGGGATGACTGTACTATGTTAGGAGGTAATAATCAGTACATTTTATACTATGTTAGAAGGTAGTAAGTGTTATGGGAAACAAAAAGGCAAGCAAGGTAAGAAGAACCTGGAATTGCAGGGGTGAAGATTTAAGTTGCAGCGTTGAATGAGGTGGTAAGGGTAGACCTCATTGAGAGGCTGAGAACTGAGCAAAGACATTGGAGGAGGAGAGGGAGTTAGCCAATTAGCTATCTGGGGGAAGATATTGGTTTGGGCAGCTCCTTATCTCCTTCAAGCCAGAAGGAACAGCTAAATCAAAAGGATACACAGGGCTTCCCTGGTGGCGCAGTGGTTGAGAGTCCGCCCGCCGATGCAGGGGACACGGGTTCATGCCCCGGTCCGGGAAGATCCCACATGCCGCGGAGCGGCTGGGCCCGTGAGCCATGGCCGCCAAGCCTGCGCGTCCGGAGCCTGTGCTCCGCAACGGGAGAGGCCACAACAGTGAGAGGCCCGCGTACCGCAAAAGAAAAAAAAAAAAAAAGAAACATACAAAAGGATACACAATATGTTTAAGGAACAGCAGTGGAGTCAGTGTTGCTGGATGGGAGAAACTGAGGGACAGGGTGGAGCAGAAAAGTCCAGAGAGGCAGTGGAGGCCAGATTCTGTAGAGCCTTGTGGGTCATTGTAAGGACTTTGGCATTTACTCTGATTGAAATAAGCAGTGGCTGTGGGGTTTTGAGTAGAGTAACACCCTGGTGTGTGGGGGTGACGCTGGCTTATGGATCTTAGATCTCCAACTAGGGATTGAACCCAGGCCTCGGCAGTGAAAGCACCAAGTCCTAAACACTGGACCACCAGTGAACTCCCTTCTGGTCCACCAGGGAACTCCTTTTTAAAGGATCTCTCCAGCTATCATGTTGAAGAGCCTTTTACAGCAATTCAGGCAAGAGATGATAGCTCAAAGTGGTATCAGAGAATGAGTGATAAGAAGTTGGATTGTGGGTATATTGTGAAGTTAGAGACTCCAGGATTCCTAATGGATTCAATTGTGGAGTGTGAAAGGAATGGTGGAGTCAAGAATAGCTCAGGCAACAAGGAGCTGCTACCCAGTGGAGAAGGTGATGGGTGAAGTGGGATTTGAGGGGAGAGGTCAGCAGCTCAATGTGGAGCATGTTGAGTTGGAAACGTGCTGTTAGACATCCAAATGGAGATGTGGAAGAAGCAGTTGGGGGACTTCCCTGGTGGCTCAGTGGTTAAGAATCCGCCTGCCAGTGCAGGGGACATGGGTTTGATCCCCCGTCTGGGAAGATCCCACATGCCGCAGAGCAACCGCGGAGCAAGTAAGCCCATGTGCCACAACTACTGAGCCTGCGTGCCACAACTACTGAAGCCTGTGCACCTAGAGCCTGTGCTTCGCAACAAGAGAAGCCACCACAATGAGAAGCCCACGCAGTGCAACAAAGAGTGGCCCCTGCTCAACGAAGAGTAACTAGAGAAAGCCCGTGTACAGCAACGAAGACCCAATGCAGCCAAAAAAAAAAAAAAAAAAAAAGCAGTTGGATGTATTAATCTGGAGTTCTAGATGGAGCTCTGGGCTGCAGAGAGAAACCTGGGAGTTTTTATCATACAGATGGAATTTAAAGCAACAAGACTGCATGAGATCACCAAAGGAGTGAGTATAGATAAGAGGAACAAAGGCTGAGCCCAGGAGTCCTGTAACATTAAGTGGTCGGGAAAATGAGGAAATGGTGGAGGAGACTGAGCTAGTGAGGCAGGAAAAAAAACCAAGAGAACATTGTGACTCGGAAGCTATGTGAAGAAGGATATTTAGAAGGGGTGATCAGCTGTACCATATGCTGCTGAAAGGTCAAGAAAGATGAGGAAGGCGAATTTACCATTGGATTTAGCAACAAGGAGATCATTGATAAGAAGAATAAGCAGTTTCTGTGGAGTCATGGGGTAAAAGTCTGATTGAAGTGGGTTCTAAGGGCAAAGGGGAAGAGGAATCGAAGACAGCATATAAAGACAAATATTTTAAAGAGTTTTGCTGTAAAAGGGAGGAAAGAAATATAGCAGTAGCTGGTGAAGGAGCAGGGTTAAGAGAAAATGATCCAGTTGAAATCAATAAATGATTATATAGCGAAAGAGGGGGGAGAATTGTTGGAGCACAGTGGAGGTGAGGAAATGAAATCTACTGCACAAGTGGAGAGATTGCTTTAGTGTAAGGGTATGGATTATTTGTCTATGATAACTGGCAGGATAATTGTTATGACAGTGCAGGCACTGGAAGGGGGTATATGGGTTAGTGGAAATCTGTGGAAGTTCTAAGTCTCCATGTAGGGGGAAAAAAAAAAGAACACGTAACAAAGGATTAGCAGTCAGAATGACTTTGGATTTCTCAGGGACAACACTAAAATCTAGCAGACAAGGGGTCAAGGCCTTGAAAAACCTAAGGGAAGATAATTTGCCACTTAAGAATTCTACACCCAGGCAAACTATCACTGACTGCCCTCAGGCTTCTGGTAGGGTTGCAAATGTGAGACACTGGCAGGATACCGCAGGGCAGAAAGAGCGGTTACTGCTGTGTTCCTTTACTCAAAGCCAAAGATCTTGCTGATCAACGCTTTTCCTATAGCTGCAGCTCTCTGGATTCTAGCAAACATCCCTTCCTTTTTCCCCTTCAGCCCTAAATCTTCCTGCTGTTGCTAGCCGCATCTCCTCGGATCAGTCACACCTTTGTAAATAGTTCCTTCATTAAGCTTTCATCTGGGCCTTGATTGAATACACAGGTCTCCAAAAATGTAGCCATACACTTTTATCTCATAAAACTAATGGAGAAAGTTCTCCACTAAGATAAGAAAGAAGACGACACAGGAATTAGGCAAAGAGAATCTGCAGAACAATGGTGAAAGGAGATTTCAGGATTAAATTAGGAATCTCTTTTGTATTACGTACAAAGAACAACCAATTCCAATTGCAGCAGGCGGGACGGCAATGACAGTGCAGGAATTCCACACCCGCTGCGGGGTTTGTGGACCCGACTGAAGAGTGGGAGGGAGCACTGTTCACCTGACATACCCCAGCGCGCCCAGCTGCAGCCTAGGGCTGCGGAGGCGGTGGCCAGAAGCGCTTCAGCCCGCTGAGCTCAGGAAGACTGGGGCTGCAGGACGGCGTCCCGCCGAGCCACCTGCGCACGCGCATTTCCCCCCTTCGCCGGCCGGCGGCCTGCTGCGCACGCGCAGCTCGCCGTCTCTCGCTCCGTCAGTCCCTGCAGTGCCTGGGCCCCACCCCCGCAGGCCCCGCCCCGCTGCCGTGCGCCGAATGCTGCATATCCGGGTTCTCGCCTCCGCCTCCGCCTCCGCCGCCGCCGCCGCCGCCTCCGCCGCCGCCTCCGCCTGGCTCATTCAGCTTTGCTGGGAGCGGTGTGTTCCCGACTAAGATGGCGGGTGTGGGGCGACTCGGCTCTTTCGGTTCCTCTCCGGCGGGATTAACCTCGACTTACACGGGCGGTCCCTTGGCCAACGAGCTAACCTCGGGCAACGGCGGCGCCGCGGCAGGGGACGACGAGGACGGGCAGAATCTTTGGTAAGGACCGCACCCTTCCCCGGTCCCCGCCGGCACCCCCGGGCCGGGGACGCCCCGGGGTCGCGTGCCCGCCGGAGCTCGGCGCCCTGCCCAGGCCGCCGCGTTCTCGGCCGCCCCCGCCCGGGCGCGCGAGGCCGGTGCCGTTCCTCCCGCGCTGGGCTCCAGCCTGAGCGTGCGCCTTGTTCCCCGCCAGGTCCTGCATCCTTAGCGAGGTCTCCACCCGCTCGCGCTCCAAGCTCCCCGCGGGGAAGAACGTGCTGCTGCTGGGTAAGTGCCCCCACCTGCTCCCCCCTGCGCGGCCCCCCAGCGTGGCCTGGGTCTGTGTCCGCCCGCCGCTCTCTGGCTCGCTTTGTGCGGACAGCCGGGGCTGCCTCCGCCCCGCCGCCCGACCTGTGGCTGACAGCTGGGGGAGAAGGAGAACAGGGACCCCTGACCCGGGACCTGCAGGGACCCGCCCTCCCCTGAAAGTTTCTCCTCCCCTGGGTGTGTGGGGTTGGCCCTGACAGCTTCCTCCGGGAAGGACAATGCGATAGCCCCATCTGAGAGATTCTAGTGGCTTGGGGTTTACCTAGAAAATAAGGACGTTTTTTCTTTCATGACAAAAATTGGTAGCAGGAGGCTCTTCGCGACAGCTCCAGTGCAAATGGCATGCTATCAATATTTAATAGCCGGCTCTTTGTATAATTTACAGAAGCTAGAAATGAGGCCTGGTGTAGTCGTGATAAATGTAATTATTTGATTCAGCTTTTACGGGTACAGTGGGCTCGTGTTGCAGCTGTCTTTTTCACTGTCACTTATAATTCTGAAATTTGTAAAGTGCAGTAAACGTTTACCTTTCTCGTTCAGTCCCTTCGGCCTGATGGGTGTAATAATGAGAAATGGTCTAACGTCTCAAATCTCCTGATCTATATTCCCTCTGCTCTCTGGAAGTTATGTATTTTGTTTCTTTACTGACTCTGGGGGTGGACGTGGAGAACAATTCACAGGTTCACATTTTTGCAGGCTTAGCTCCAAAGTAACTTAGAGATTTCTTTCATATTCTTTGGATGTGAAAATTTGAAGTTTGGCTTATAGGATGATCGTTGAATTTTAAAACTTTGGTTTTGATGTCTCAAGACTTTTTAATGTTCATTTAAAAACAGGAAGGGAAACAAAGAAGTCAAATGATACTTGTCAGGGTCCGCTTTTAATGGGAATGTTTAGATAGAAACAAATCATTTTTCATGAACTCTTGACAGTCTACAGTATATGATTCTTGGCGTTATTTAAAGTTACTGGAGCTAGTTGAAAAATTAGTGTTACCTTTTTTTTTAAAAAATATATATCACTTTATTTATTTTCATTTTTGGCCGTGTTGGGTCTTCGGTGCTGCGCTCCGGCTTTCTCTAGTTCCGGCGAGCATGGGCTTCTCATTGCGGTGGCTTCTCAGGCTCTAGGCGTGCGGGCCTCAGTAGTTGTGGCACGTGGGCTCAGTAGTTGTGACACACCAAAAAAAAAATCAAATACTGCCATTGTAAAGATAAGTTTCCTGAATTTTGCTTTCATTTTATAAGTTCCTCCCAATTATTCCTGTGCATTAGATGTTAGTTACATGGTTCTGTTTTTAGTGAAACAAAAGTGACAGTTTTGTTCATTTCTTTTTTTTTTTTTTAAATAGATGTTCGTTTCTTAACGTTCCTAATTTGCACTGAGGTTGCACCATGCTTTTTTTTTTTTTTTTTTTTTTTTTT